GGCTGAGGCAAGAAGATGATCACCTTAGCCCAGGAGGTTGATGGCTGAGTGAGCTGTGATTGCACTCCAGACTGGGCAACAGAGTGAGACCTTGTAGAAATAAATAAATAAAAAGAGAGTGACAAGCAGAAACACATTTAAAGGATGGTAACTGGGATGACGAAGGTGGAGGAAATCACAAAGGTGATCATTCTGGAGCTTGTCGGAGATTCAGTGAATAGATTGTTACCCAGACTGCCAAGATGTTGGGAGCAGATGTGATGTGGGGAGCAGACAAGCACGGTCACTGTAGCAGGCCTTGAGTAGAGGCCTAAGCGAAGGCAAGGTCTCGCTTAATGGCCCCAAGCTCGTAGGCAAGGTCTCTCTTGGAAGCTCTGCATCCTAGCCAAAGGCAGGCCGTGAGGGATGCAGCCTGCTACACAAAAACGGTGTCTCAGATGCCCACACATCCAGGTGCACATAGCATAAAGGAAGCCTTAGCCTCCCTCACAGACCTTTAATTCTCATTAATAAACTTGTTTTCCGTTGGCAAAGTGAAAAAAGAATCAAACTGACTTCCAAGTACAGCCAAAGAGGAGGTCAGGGATAGCCAATCAAAGAACTTTCTTATTGCTTATTTCTACAGATTTGTTTTGCACCCAATATCCTGATTCTTATCTCCCTCTTCTCTCCAATTCATCCAATCAGCTACCAAGTCCAACAAATTCCAATTCCTTTATGTCTCTAATCCTCCTTCCCCTCACCATCTCCTCAGCTGCTGCCTTCCTCCAGGTCTTCATCTGTTTCATCACAGCAGTGCTCAGACTGGTCCCCTGCTAGTCTTGTTCTGTCCAGTGTAATCACACTGCTGCCTGGGTAATTAAAAACAGACCAGAGGCTGGGCTCGGTGGCTCAGCCTGTAATTCCAGCGCTTTGGGAGGCCGAAGTGAGTGGATTGCCTGAGCCCGTGGGTTTGAGACATGCCCGGACAACTTGGCGAGATCTCATCTCGACAATAAATCAAAAAATTAGCTGGGGTGGTAGCACGGGCCTGTAGTTCCAGCTAACTTGGAAGGCTGAGGCGGGAGGATCGTCGGAGCCCAGCAGGTTGAGGCTGCGATGGCCGGGAGTATGCCGCTGCACTCCAGTCTGGGTGACAGAGTGAGACACCAACTCAAAAAAAAAAAAACCAGACCAGAGTAGAACACACGCCTGTTCAAAATTCTTCAGTGTCCTGCTCTCCATCCCCACACCTTAGAGTCCAAACTCCTTAGCCTGGCAATATTAACTGCTACTGTTTATTGAGTGTTTGTCATCAACATAGTGAGTAACACAGCACTTCATTCAACTTCTATGTCCCCTTTTTACAGTTAAGGAAACCAAAGATTAGAAAGGAAGCAGCTTGCCCAAAGTCACAAAACTAGTTCAAATGGCAAAGCTGGTATTGGTACACAGGTTTCTTAGATGCTAAAGTCTGTGTACTCTTAGCATGCTATTGCCCAAAAGGCCCTTCATGATATGGCTCCCGCTCACCTTTCCAGTCACTTCTCATTCTCCATCTCTACACTGCCACTCTGGTGAACCTCAGGCAGATCATGCATTCTCATCTCCCACCCTTCTTCACCTGGCTAATCCTGCTCATTCTTAAGACCTGGATGGAATTAGAGTTTATAATACTGAGTGATCTCTCACAGAAACAAAGATCTGAGTATCACATGTTCTCACTCATATATGGACCTTGAACAACTATCATAATACTATAAGAAAAGGATTGACAGTGGCGGGAAACTGGGGGGGCAGGGAGGTGAAGAGAGGCAGAATTAATGGTAGTCAATCTCTGTCTGGGGAGTAGGGGCACACCTCATCAACAAAGGTACCTGCACAATGCATATTTGTATACCTAACCCTTAACTGCACCCCACAATTTTAAAATAAAAAATATGTATTAAAAAAAAAAAAAAGAACTGAAGCTATAGCCAAGTTCAGTGGCTCAGTCTGTAATTCCAGCACTTTGGAAGGCTGAGGCAAGTGGACTGCCTGAGTCCGTGGGTTTGAGACCCACTCCAGCAACTTGGTGAGACCTTACCTCTACAATAAATAAAAAATTAGCTGGGTGTGGTAGAGCACCTGTAGTTCTGGCTACTTGGAAGGCTGAGGCAGGAGGATCACCTGAGCCCAACAGGTCAAGGCTGTGGTGGCCAGGAGCGTGCCACTGTACTCCAGTCTGGGAGACAGAGTGAGACTCCAACTCAAAAAAAAGAAAAGAAAAAAAAAGAAAGAAAGTTAGCTGGGCGCAGTAGCTCATGCCTGTAGTTCAAGCTACTTGGAAGGCTGAAGCGAAAGGATCACTGGAGACCAGCAGGTCGATACTGGGGTGACCGTGAGTGTGCTACTACACTCCAGTCTGGGCGACAGAGACTCCAACTCAAAAACAAACAAACAAAAAAAAGAACTGAAGCCTTCTCTGATGTGTCAGTCTGATTTATGAGCACCCTAAGTCCTCCTCTACCAAACCTCTGCAACAGCTTCATACCATAGTTATTGTTCATCTCCTTGACTTTTTTTTTTTTTAAAGTAAACTCCTTGAGGATAGAGACATGTATCTTCCTCATTTTTGTATTTTCAGCTTGCATGTAGTGCCTGACATGCAGCAGTTCAATAAATATTTATTTTTATTCTTGTCTGGGCATGGTGGCTTATGCCTGTAATCCCAGCACTTTGGAAAACACAGGCAGGAGGATCACCTGAGGTCAGAAGTTCGAAACCAGTCTGGACAATATAGTCTGGGCAATATAGTTAGACCTTGTCTTTACAAAAATCAAAAATCTTTTTTTTTTTTTTTTGAGTTGGAGTCTCACTCTGTCGCCCAGACTGGAGTGCAATGGCCACTCCCGGCCACCGCAGTCTCGACCTGATGGGCTCCGGCGATCCTTCCACATCAGCCTTCCAGGTAGCTGGAACTACAGGCGTGCGCTACCACGCCCGGCTAATTTTTTATTTATGTAGAGATGAGATCTCACCAAGTTGCCCAGGCGGGTCTCGAACCCGCGGGCTCAGGCAATCACAAAAATAAAAAAATTAGCTGGGCATGATGGCACATGTCTATAGTCACAGCTACTCAAGAGGCTGAGGCAGAAGGATTGCTTGAGCTCAAGAATCTGGGGCTGCAGTGAGCTATGACTGTATCACTGCATCCAGCCTGGGTGACAAACCAAAACTCTAACTCAAAAAAAGAAAAGTATGTTTATTCTCTATAATGAGAAGCTGGATAGGAACAGAAAAGGGACCTTGTGGTTGAATACTGGAGAGTCTAGTACTTGACTACTTAAAAGGATTTCAAAATCACGTCACATGAGAGAGGAATTGGCCAAGAAAAACGGAAGGGGAAAGGGAGGTGTTCTGGGCAGCAGGAGCAGCTGCAAGCAGTATAACAAGACTGGAATGCAGAGTTGGGATATGGGGAACAGTAGAAAAGATAAGATTTCACAAAACTGGCTTTTTCTTCATTCAAGTGTTAGTTCAAATATCACCTCCTCAGAGAAATCATCCCTGATCAGCTAGCTTTTATGCTTCCCCCCAGTGACTATCCCATGACCCTGTTTTTTTTTTTTTCTAGAGCACCTATCAGGATCTGAAACACTTAACCCTTATGAGTATCATGTTTTTGACAACCACCGTCACCACCCTCAAAAAGCAGGAGAAACATGAAACCGACTTATTTTTTGTCTTTAATTTTTGTTACATCATTAGTGCCTACAATGTCAGGCACATAATAGGCAAATATTTGTTTTATTCACTCATTCAACAAACATTTATTGAGCATTATAATATGCTAGGCATTTTTCCATATGTTGGGGATATAACAAATAAAGCAAGACAAAATTCTCTGTCATTGTGGAGCTGACTGTGAGTGAATAAATACGCTTAGTTCAGAGAAGAAAAGATGGAGGAAAGGAAGACACAGACTAGCAGCTTTCAAAGATGTACAAGGCAATTAAACGGAAGGATGATCTCAAGAACCTGAAGGAGGAACAATGAGCTGAGATTACAGGGTAACTGCTTTCAGCTCAAAAGAAGAGTCAAAGCTGAGCGTAGACCAAACTAGAGCAATCAGAATTAGAGAGCTTTCTGTCATGGAAGAAATGTGTCCAATAGTCAGAGGTGTCACAGAAAATATCCCAAGCAGTCAATGGAAAAAGGAGCCTGGGATCCAGAGGATGCAAACTAGTAGCTATCGATATGTCTGGTTACAGGTGAACACGGTTTTTAAACATTGAATTAGTGCCAATTTTTTTTATTGTATTAGTTGTCACTGTTTAAAAATCAGGAGATTGCATGCATCCGGTACACACACTGGAGAGTTGGTTCCACTTCCTCTATCTCTTATATGTTAGTACTTGCTTATAAAACTCAATTCAGTAAAAATAAAAATTTGACTCTATTTCTGTCAAAGAAATGTTCTTACACCTACATCTTTACCTTACCTGATTCCTATTATGCATTAGTTTGTAACTCCTTGGACCAAACCAAGGAATCGAGAAATTTCTTAGTTCAGAAAAGCTCTGAGAGTGAATTTACTTTAACCTCCTCACTTAAATGACAGATTATCATTCCCATTTTACAGATGAGGGAAATGCAGCTCAGAAAGGGGAGGAACGTGCCAGAGTCGCACAGCAAATCCAGGCAAAGCCAGGGTGAGAACCTTATCTCTCGCGTTCCAACACCGGAGAAGCTGAGCGCTCCAAGCCAAGAAAGAGGACAGGGGGGACTGCCAGGAAAACAGCAGGAGCTTCTTAGTCAGAAGACCCCGGACTGAACCCGTCTGCGGGGACGCAGCTGCAGGAGGGTCACAGCCGGAACCAGTGACTCCCTGAAGGCAGTGAGGACCGCCCAGAGGTAAGTAGAGGAGGATCCTGAGACCTACTGGGACCCTGGCCCTCACTGCCGAGCTCGCCCTTGTCTGCAGGCCTCCAAAAGCGACCCCGCAAGACCCTATTACACCCTCACCAGCCGCCGCTCACTTACCGCCGTTCAACTTCCGGCGACCACAACATCATCCGCAGCGCGCGCCCCGATGACGCAACGTGGCCCCGCCCCGGGAGAGCAGCGCGCGTGCGCACAGGAGCTAAGGCTAGCCCGGGGAAATGAGCCCCTAGCACCTGTCTAAGTGGGAGGAACTTGACTGGCGGGGAAGGCGGAGCATAGGAAGTGGGAAAGGCCTCCCGGCTGTGTCCCTTATCGGATGTGGGAACGACTGTATTCCCTTCAGGCTTTTAGAAAAGTGTTCCACGTTTTTTTGCTTTAAGAGGATGACAGGAATTATCATCATTGCCATTTTTCAGGAGGCGGCATCAAATGTAACACAGGGACCATAAGGGAAGCTGGTGTGGAGAGTCAGGAGATGAGAATTTTTCTAGGAAAAGGCCAATGAGAGTCAACAATGACCTACTCTTTTGAAACCGGCTGTTATTCTCATGCTTCCCCGCTGTCAAAAGGACAAAGTCATTCTTTCTAAATTATCTGTTGATCATATACTATGTGTAAAGAACTGGACAGGTGTTGAAGGTACAGCCGTGATGATGACAAATTTCTCAGTCTGGCCTGTTAAGGCCTTTCACAAAATGATGTATCTCTATAAATCTATAACAAGAGCAGTTACTACTGTTTGTTGATTATTCACAATGTCTTCAGAGTTTCACATCTCTAATCCTCACAAGAGTCCTGAAAGTTATACCCAATTTACATGTGAAAGAACAGAAGCTAGAGAAAGTTAAGTGGCTTGCTGATAGTTAAAGGGCTTTTGGACCAGAATTGTAATTGAAGTCTGTCAAAGAAGAAAACAAATCCAGACAATAAGGATACTTTATTAGAAAGAATTACTGAAAGAAGTGGGACAAGGAGGAGAGGAGGGACGATGCAAAAGGGGAGGGAGATTATTGCCGTAGGGAGACCACTGACCAAAAAATCCACAGTTGTCTCAAGGTCAGGCAAAAAGAATTTCTTCTTTCCTAGGGAAGAGTAGACAAGGATAGAAAGAACCGAATATGAGAAGGTGGGATGAAGGGGCTGATCGGCTAATTACTTATGAGGCAAAGAATAAGAATTCAGAAGGACTGTGTCTGTCCTTGCCACAAGTAAACAAGGAAGGTCTTGTAGAGTCTTATTTAAGTTACACAAGAATGGTTGGGGGCTTTTTTGTTTATTTTTTGGGTTTTTTTTCTTTTTTGTGTGTGGTAAACAGTTTCTGTAGCACAAAAAGGTTAAGAAAGATTTCTTAGCCATCACTGTTCTCCTAGAGCACAGGGCTCAGGTAAAATTCAACACTGCCCACTCTTTTGATTATAACAGGCTCCTCTCCTGCCACTGTCCTCTCAGACTGCATGCTTGGGTCACACTAAACTAATTCTGGTTTTCTAAGCACACTCTGCTCTTTTACATTTCCATCTTTGCAATGCCCTCACACTTCCTCTGCTTGTATAACCCTTTTTCAGTCTTTATAACCCTGTTGAAATGTGGGAATATCTTAGACAAAATGTTGATGGAAAAGGAGTACATATTCAATGATTTACTTAAAGTTCTAAAATCAGCAAAACTAGGCTGGACACGGTGGCTCAGGCCTATAATCCCAGCACTTTGGGAGGCCGAGGAGAGAGGATTGCCTGAGCCCACCAGTTTGAGACCAGCCTGGGAAACTTGGCGAGACCTCATCTCTACAGTAAGTCAAAAAATTAGCGTGGCGTGATGGCCTGTGACTGTAGTTCCAGCTACTCAGAAGGCTGAGGAGGAAAGATCACCTGAGTCCAGCAGGTCGAGGCTGCCGTGGCTGTGAGCGTGCCACTGCACTCCAGCCTGGGTGACAGAGTGAGACTCCAACTCAAAAAATAAAAATAAAATAAAATCAGCAAAACTGACTTTATAGTGATAAAAGGCAGTTCACTGTTGCCTGGGGCAAAGAGGAGGACATATCGCAAAGGAGCATGAGGAGTTTTCTGGAGTGATGGAAATGTTCTGATACGGAAACCCATATTGTCTGCCCATATTGCTACAATCCTTAAAGAAAGACATAACTTTTAAGGGGGACTGCACATACTCACATTCCTGCACATACCTACGTTACTGAGAATTAGCAAAAGAAAGTGTATTCCTTTATCTCCTGTACATTCCCTGTTAAGTCACTTCAAAAACCCCTGACCCCCTACAGACTGCACTCACTCAACTAGGAGAAAAGAGTCCCTATTCACTTTCTTTTTTTTTTCAGTCTGAGTCTCACTCTGTCGCCCAGGCTGGAGTGCAGTGGCACACTCATGGCCACCACAGCCTTGACCTGCTGGGCTTACGCAATCCTTCCACCTCAGCCTCCCAAGTAGCTGGAACTAGAGACGTACGCCACCATGCCTGGCTAGTTTTTGTGATTTGTTGTAGAGATGAGATCTCACCAAGTTTCCCAGGCTGGTCTTGAACCCCCAGGCTCAGGCAATCCTCTCACCTCGGTCTCCCAAAGTGCTGGGATTACAGACTGAGTCATTGTGCCCAGCCTTACTTTCTTTATCAGTGGTCACAGATTTGAGAATATAGCACCCATGTAACCGTAAGTCTTGTAATTTGTATAACATTTTGCATATTATAACTACTAATCAATAATATGTTGTAGTGAATAATGTTTTACTTTGTAATAGGTTCTGTTAACTCCCTTACAGTATGGCAAGCTTAATCAATTCTTCAGTTTGGTGTTACTGATAATGCTGTGAGCTACCTTTTGGTAGCCAGCACCAGGAAATCCAGACCATAAATGTTACTATTGAAAAAATGCAGCTTTAACTTAAGTTCTACACAATGCTCTGTCAGTCACATAATCAATGAAAAGACAGAAGATGGAATCAATATAGCCAAAGAGCAACCATTTTAACATTGCTTCCCTTTGTCATGTTTTTCTAACAATTTACTTTAATTTACCCTCTAATCACTAGCCAAGGACAGAACCAGTTTCTCAGAGGTAGATATTGATAATTGCTTTACATCCCCTCCCCAGGTTGTTTTGTAAACAAATCAAACCAATCAGCCCTTCATAACACAGATCCCATCACAGGACAGCAATCATGTGACTGACCCACCCGTCTGCCTGCTGTCCATCACCTGAAATCAGTGCCTATGCTTACCTGTCTTCTAGTGATAACAAGGAGTAGGCCACCACCCAATCACCTTAATGACCTGCCCCCATCAAAGGAAAGGTTTAAAAGTCATCCAACTTCAAACAGCGGTCGCCACTGCTTTGCTAAGCTCTGGCCAGGCCCTGTGCTCATTGAGCTATGGCCAGGCCATGTTTCCTAACTTTGGCCCCCTTCCCTACCTTGGGGAGGTGAATTTCCAATCTCTCTCTCTCATTTACTTTCTAGTCATTATTTTGTTAAGCACTGGCCAGGCAATATGCTTTTTGAGCTATGGCCACCATGTTTTCTTAGCTTTGGGCCCCTCTCCTACCTTGGGGAGGTGAATCTTCTCTCTCTCTCTACTTTCTAAATAAACTATATTTTCCAATCTAACTTCTGTGCAGGTGTTAGGCGGGCTTGACCTAACATTCAATATATAAGTAGCAGCAACCCTAAACTTATAAAAGTGGACTGTGGTTGGGCGTCCCAGCACTTTGGGAGGTGGAAGCGAGAGGATTGCCTGAGCTCAAGGGTTGGAGACCAGCCTGAGCAATATGATGGGACCTTGTCTCTACTATTAAAAAAAATAAGCTGGGTGTGGTGATGTGTGCCTGTGGTTTCAGCTACTTGGAGGGCTGAGGCGGAAGGATCCCCTGAGCCCAGCAGGTTGAGGCTGTGGTGGCTGTGAGCATGCCACTGCACACCAGCCTAGATGACAGAGTGAGACTCCAACTCAAAAAATAAAATAAAATAAAATAAAAATTTTTAAAAAACAGACTGTGGGAACTAAAGGGCAAGCAGACTGGTTCCAGAAATGCCAGGTGTCAGTTTTTGTCTCCCTGAATTCTGGATTCAGAAATAAAATTCTACCAGTTTTCTGCCCCTTGATTTAGTGGCATTGAGAGATAGCAGCCCAGCATTTACTCAGACCACAGCAGTTCTATAGACTGACTGAGGTGGAATTGTTGCCAGGTGGCAGGCAGTGCAAGGCTCGTGGGTCCTTTAACACACTACTCAGGATTCCTGAAAAGAGCAGCCAGCAAAGATTTAAAACAGAATTTATTAGAGAAAGAGAAGGAGAGAGATATATAAAAACATGCCGCAGCAAGGATGCCTTGGAGAAAGACTGTTTTTGCTTTTTACAAAAAGGTTGATATAGCTACCTAGTTATTAATATGCTAACAATAGAGTACAGATATCTGCTGTGGAAATGATCTCTCCACCTCTGATAGGTGAAGGGAAGTAGGCTTTTCCAAGAACAGGCCTTTTGCCTTCGGTAGGCTGACTTGCCAGACTTGGTGACTAATTGCTAAAAGGTTAGACTTACATTTCTATAGCATTGGATTCTATCTGGGAATCACCTTGACAGAGTTTTCCTTTGGCGAGCTGAGAGGGGGGGATGGACTGGGAGTCCACATTGAACCTACATTCCAGTTCACAGGGCAGTTTGGCCTGTAGACAAGGTGGCTGGATGTTTCCTTATTTTAAACTGGCGGGGCATGGTGCCTCTTGCCTATAATCCCAGCACTCTGGCAGGCTGAGGTGAGAGGATTACCTGAGCCCGCAGGTTCAAGACCAGTGTTGGCAAATTGGCGAGACCTCATCTCTACAATAAATAATAAAAATTAGCCGGGCATGGTGGCACCATGCCCAGCCAGTTTAAAATAAGAGTGAGACAGAGTGAGACTCCAACTCAAAAAATAAAATAAAATAAAAATAAAATAGTTACAGCTACCTGGAAGGCTGAGGCAGAAGGATTGCCTGAGCCCAGCAGGTCGAGGCTGTGGTGGCCAGGAACATGCCACTGTCCTCCAGCCTGGGTGACAGAGTGAGACTCCAACTCAAAAAACCAAAAAAACTAAAAACTGCCTACAAGAAATTTATCTATGTCTAACCTACACTAATTACCCTGCCTCAGAGATGACATGGGTATATACATTTATCAAAATTCAGACGGGTGTGGTGGCTCATGCCTGTAATCTCAGTAATTTAGGAAACCAAGGTGGGAGGATTACTTGAGCCTAGGAGTTCCAAAACAGCCTGGACAATACAGGGAGAGCTCAGCTCTACAAAAAAATTAAAATATGAAAGAAGAGCCGGGCTCAGTGGCTCAGCCCATAATCCCGCGCCTTTGGGAGGCTGAGGTGAGTGAATTGCCTGAGCCCGCCTGGGCAGCGAGACCTCATCTCTACAATAAATAAAAAATCAGCCGGGCATGGTAGCGCATGCCTGTAATTCCGGCTACTTGGAAGGCTGAGGCGGAAGGATCGCTGGAGCCCAGCAGGTCGAGGCTGCGGTGGCCGGGAGCGGCCACTGCACTCCAGTCTGGGTGACAGAGTGAGACTTCAACTCAAAAAAAAAAAAAAATGAAAAAAGAAAAAGAAAAAAACCCTCAATGAACTCTACATTTAAAATGGGTACATTTTATTGTATGTGTTGAATGTAATAGACGACGTAAAAAAACAAACAGTAGGGATATTAGCTCCTATATGAGCCATGCCTCATTCCCACCCACTTGTGCCACCCTAGCCTCTATACCCTCCAGAGTTGATTAGAGTGAAATGGACACAAGATGACTCTTTACCGTGAATTTTGGACTTTCAAACTGATGTTCATAGAGAGTGGGAATAGGAATACTTTATGTAGGTCAATGGTAGTATTCTAGAGGGCCTGTCCTCAAATTCTTACGGTTGAGGTTCCTGTGGCTGACTTGGCTCAAGCCCTTCCCAAGGCTGGGTCATCCAAAACACCCTATGCTTTACTGTGCTATGCTTTGAATGTTTGTCCCCTCCAAAGGTCATGTTGAAATTTAATTGCATTGTGATGGCATTGGGAGGGGAAATCTTTAAGAGGTGTTTGTGTCATGAGGGCTCTGCCCTCATGAATGGGCTAATGCTGTTATCTCAGGAGTAGGTTCTTTATTGTAGGAGTGGGTTAGCACCCTCTTGCTCTTTGTTCTTCTACCAGGTGATGTTTCTGCCATATTATAACACATCAAGAAGGCTCTCAGCAAACCTTGATATTGGATTCCACACCTCCAAAACTGAGCCAATACATTTTTGCTCATTATAAATTACCCAATCTGTGGTATTGTTATAGCAGCACAAAACAGACTAAGACATCCCAGTAACCGTTCACAAAGTTGGTTTCCATCACTTGCAACCCTGATATAGCTCCATAAGGTAGAAATCATGTCTGTCTATCTGTCTGTCTGTCTTGAACCAGGAATTGTCTACTAATGGCCTAAGAAGTGCTCAAAAAGTATTGTTAAAATAACAGATGAGGAGCTGGGCTCGGTGGCTCAGCCTGTAATCTCATGCCTTTGGGAGGCTGAGGTGAGTGGATTGCCTGAGCCTGTGGGT